AAAAAAAAAAAAAAAGATGTATTTCTTGGAAGACTGCTCCTAAGCAGGCAGAGCCTGAGCTTTTTTAATATCCACACTGAGATTATCTTGTAGTTAAGGAAAAATCACCTTTAAATTATCTCCAATATGTCTATTTTATTGTCATTGTGTTATTTTACAGATAGGTTTTTATTTTTTCTGTTAAATCTTTTTTTTTCTTCTCATTAAATCTTAATAGCATTGATTTATGCTACTAAACTCTGTAATAACAATTTTAGAGTTGGATACCTGAGGAAACTCCTGGAAGGCTCCCATAGTTTCCTGACTTCTTTCAGAAGAACCACCAATCACAATCAAGGGCCTGAAAAATTCGTTGTTTTAAAAGAAAATTACAAGTAAGATAGACATGTAAAATACTGAGGAAAGTGCCCAATAAGTAAACAGCAATGTATGTTGACAGAGAAAATTTCAACAAACTAAATATTTAGTAGGCAACCGGATATGAGAGAACCCTTCTTTAATTCCTTAATTTCAGAAAAATCTGAAATTTATAGTAAATGCTCTTCCTCCATGCCTCCCTCTTCCCAAGTCCTTCTGGATATGATGCTAAATCTCTACCTGTGATAATGTAAAATAACTTTTTATGCCCTTCCCATTATTAGTCTTGGGATTAAGAGGAGGAAACAATTGTTTTTCACACCTTCCTAAGTGAGTCTATTTGGAAATGATGGAGTGAAAGAAACTCCACACCAATAATCCAATCTTATCCTTCAAGGAGAAGAAAAGTTATGGCAAACTTAAAAGTTACGAAAAACAAAGTCAGGCCCTAAAGAAGGTAAAGAAAGAGAAAGACTAGGAAGGGAGAAAGAAGGCATATGTCAAGAAAGTGAACAATGCCCTCTTACTAGGACATTAGTCTAAATAACACTAAAATATTTAATCTTCTTTCATATTCCTAGTATTAAAGAAGATTAAATATTTTATGAATTGACTAGAACATAACCCCCTCTAACATGATCTTATTGACTAAAGCATGGATCTTTGATCTTCTTTAGTAACAGATTCATTTAAAACCATTTCCTCTAAGAACTGCAAGTTACAAATACTGTATATTTTCAATCTTTGGAGTTTTGTTGGGATTCCCTTTATGGCCTCCACATGGTTAGTTTTTACTTTTAAACTACTATAAGAAGAAAGGAAAGAAGGCATCTGGCAAGAAAGCGGACAATGTCCTACCTACTAGGACACTGGTGTAAATAATATCTAAATATTTACTCTTCCTTCATACTAGGATGATACTTCTTTGTATGAAGGAAGATTAAATGTTTTATGAATTGACTAGAACATAACTCCTTTTAACAAGACCTTACTGGTTAACCCCAAAGATGGGGTTAAGTGCAAGGTCAAAGAGTACGTACTAAAGAGCTTATAAAGCAAACTAAAAAAATCTAAGAATTTCAATTGTCTTGCTAGTTATGCAAAACAAGATAAAGAACTGGATACATTCTTACATTCTGAGCTGAGGTGTTTTAAAAATAATTCTGCACTGAAAGAGAACTGCACACACATTCACATATATAGAGAGGCACATACACATACATATACACACACACTCCAAAATGTGTTCGTTTTTTTTTAAGGTTTATACACAGTATAGTTTTAATGAGTTAAGCGTAAGCCTGTTCCCACAAGCTTCTACACGTAAGTTTATAAACTTCTATCTTAATGAAAGATGAATATGAATGACATGTTATACACTGTCTAGTTTCTATGAGTTAAACACAGAGCTATCTATCACCATATGCTTCTACACATATGTTTAGAAACACATATCTTGGGACACCTGGGTGGCTTAGTCAGTTAAGCGTCTGACTTCAGCTCGGGTCACGATCTCACAGTCTGTGAGTTCGAGCCCCATGTTGGGCTCTGTGCTGACAGCTCAGAGCCTGGAGCCTGCTTCAGATTCTGTCTCCCTCTCTCTCTGCCCCTCCCCTGCTCATGCTCTGTCTCTGTCTCAAAAATAAATAAAAACATTAAAAAAAATTTTTTAAAGAAACACTTATATCTTTTTTATTTTTTAGTAGGCTCCATGCCCAATGTAGGGCTTGAACTTACGACCCTGAGATTAAGAGTCCCAAGCTTTACAAACTAAACCAGCCAGGCACCCCTAGAAATGCTTATATCTTAATGAAGGAAGATGTTACTTGAAAGAAGGTTTATACAGGGAGACTTAATGAATTAAGCATACGTGTATTCCCATATGCTTCTACACATAAGTTTTCCAAAAACTCAAAAATGTGTTTACCTCTAAGTAAGATTACTGATATTTTTTTGTTGTTCTTCCTAACACTATTCTTAATTTAATTTTTTACCAAGCCATTCCCTCAAGCACCTGATTCCAGGTCTTCTCACGCTAGATCACTGGTTGTTCCAGTAGGTAAAATCACACACTGACATTTAAGAAAATGTTTTCAGTAATAGCAATTTAATTACCAACAGTTCATGTTTGCATTTGCCATACCACCCAAAGCATGGATGAGACCTGGGCCAGAAACAACAAGGCATACGCCAGGCCTAGAAGCAAAACAGAATTTATTTTATTAAAAGCAGGTCAAGTGGAACAGGTGATTATGTCACTTTAGGGGGAAACATGGCAACTTTCTTGGACTTCAAAGGAAGGACATATAGGTCTTTACTACAATTGGTAAAGCAATTATTAGAATATTTTGTGAATTATAAAAGAAACAAAAGAAAGACTGTATCAGTCTTCCTGCAAGAAAGAAGAGACCCATCATCTTCACACTATATTTCACTAACTTCTTCATATTTTGAACCTCTTCATATTTTAAAGAGGTTATATTTGGGCCCCATTGATTTAACTGTATACAAAAGAAAATTTTTGATGTGGAGTACATTTTTATGTGGAAAAATATCTTTAAAAAATTTTAATAGATAAATATGTCAATTGATATCTGACAGAAAGTAATTCTGAAATGGAATGACCTGCCTCAACTTTTTTAAAAATTTAATTTGAATGCTTTACCCTAGATGTAACTTTCTAACTTCAGAACACTCAAGGAAAAAGTATCTCCATATATAATTCAGTTTGCCATTTTATATTCACAAAGTAATTTCTTAAGAAACTCTGTTTAAGACAGCCTTTAAAAGAAACAGAAATAAAACATAGACTTGAGTTTACCTGCCTGTCAGATATCCAATCGCAGAGGCAGCATAACAAGCCTACAAAAAAAAAATACTGGGACTTAAGCATACTGGGATCATTACAGTAAGTACATGTATAAATATTTACTATTAAATAAAAAACTAGAACAGAGTGGTAAAGGAGGAACTGGAATGCTTTCAGTTTTAATAAGTAATGTTCTACCTGTAAATTTCAAGTAATGGCTTAGGTATCTAATCTAGCTCTTAGTGTTTCAAGGAATTTGTCTATATCATCTAGTTTATTAATAATATCCTCTTAGATTATTATTAATAATATCTGCAAGATCAACAGAAATGTTCTCTCTCAATCCTAATATTGGCAATTTATGTTTTCTCTCTTTTATTCTTCATCAGTCTTGCTAGGGATTTATCAAATTTATTAATCTTTTAAAAGAACCAATTTTTGGCTTTGTTGATTCTACTGTTAGATTCTACTGTTGTTTTCTATTTCACTGATTTCTGCTCTTGTATTCATTATTTTACTCCTTTCATTTTAGGTTTAGTTCGGTTTTCTTTCTCTAGCTTCTTAAAATATAAGCTTAAAGCACGGATTTTTAAAAATCTTCTTTGGTAATAGATTTACTTAAAGCTATTTCTTCTAAGAACTGCTTTAGCTCTACCTTATAAGTTTGAAATCTCATCTTTTCTATATCATTCAATTCAAAATATTTCTTATTTTCTGCTGTGATTTCTTCCTCAACCCATTGGTTAGTTAGGGTTCATAGTGATGTGTCCTTTTTCATTCCTGCTATTAGTAATTTGTATTTTCTCTCTTTCATTTTTGACCACTCTGCCCTAAAGTTTTTTAGATTTTACCAATCCTTAAAAACGTTTACCAAGTATCAAATATGTTATTTTACTTTCAAGTTTGGGGATTTTCTAGTTATCTTTCTGTTACTGAATTTATTTCTACGCTGTCAGGTTACATATACTGTATGTTTTCAATCTTTGAAGATTTGTTGAGATTCCCTTTATGGCCTCCATATGGTTAGTTTTTACTTTTCTTTCTTATTTTATTTTTTTATGTTTATTTATTTTTGAGGGGGACAAGGGAGCCGGGGAGGGGCAGAGAGAGAGGAAGATAGAATATCTGAAGCTTGGACCCATGAACCCTGAGATCATGACATGAGCTGAAGTTGGATGCTTAACAAACTGAGCCACCCAGGCACCCTGGTTAGGTTTTACTTTTAAACTACCCTTCAACTGCACAGGAAAAAGGGGAGGTGCTAAATTAAATACAAGATAACCTGAAAAACTGCTAAATACTCTCTCAAATAAATCCTTTTTCTTAGTCTGAGACATCTTTTTCTAGTATTATTTCTTCTCATTTTTTTTTTAGAAATAGTAATAAAAATGATATTTTTCTAAACACTCAATTTTAGGTGTAGTAGACTTAACTTAAATAAACGTTTAGGATATAAGGGTAAAAAAAATTAAAAATAAATTTTTAAGAATCTTTAACTGCTACCACTACCATATGCCCAACTAAGAAAGGGCACACAGGCTCCATGCCGTTTCTTTGTTACTATTCTCCGCTGGCCCTTATCACTTTCCCTTTTGCACACAAGACCAAACTCACACAGGATAGTAATAAGACAACTCCAAAAATGCAAGTGCATAAAATATAATGTCTGGTGCAATCTGAACACTGAAGAACACTGTCCACTTATTAAAGCAGGGTAAGAAATATTGCTACAGAATGCAAAATACAAAACAACATATACCAAAAATTATATCCTTCTGGTAGCAAATGTCAAAAGCTGAAAGGAACTCTTTTTATGATCATAAAACATGTATTTCTCTACCAAATTACCTCCACTCACAAGCAGAATGCTGTGTGTAGTACTTAAGAGAGCAGACTCTAGAACTGAATTGTTTTGATTCGAATCTTGCTCCTCTCCTTTCCGCTGTGTAGTTTTGGCAAGTTCCTCTGTACCCTGGCTTCCTTATCTATAAAATGAACATGACTGACAGCACTGCTCTGAGAATGAAATCAGTTAACATATGTAAAACATTCAGAACACTGCTTGCACAGTTAGTCCTCAGTAACTGTCACATTCCCAACAGTGTGCTTCCCCCCTGGAAAGCCAGTCAGCGTATGTCTTGATCACGCTAAGGATCTGATGAAAGACCACCAGGTCACAACCATCCACAACCAACTACACCTTTCTCTTTAGCACAAACGTGTAATTGGACGCCAAGTCCTCTTCGGCCTCTTGAATGGCTTCTGAATCTGTTCTCACACTCTCCTTTCATCACCCTGTCATCACCCTGAATTCAGGCACTAGTTAAGTCTTCCTGAGTACTGTACTGTGAAGAGTCAGGTTGACTGAGGGGACTGCGTACCGGGAACGTCCTACAGGCATCTCAGTCATCAAATTTGCATTCATTACCTTTTCCCTCCAAATTGGTTCTTCCATCTGTATTCCCGATCTGACTCAGCGGTGCTGGGATCCCCCTAGTCAGTTAAGCAAGCCCACATCTAAGAATCATTTCCAAAAGAGCCTGTCCTCTCCTTCCTAGTTGGTTAATGCCCACTCATACTTCAAGGCAGCTCAGGGATCATCTCCAGGAAACCTTTTCTGAAGCTTTAGGCTGAGCTGAGTACCCTTTTCTGGACCTCCACAGCACCCTGAATATATCTCTATCATAGCACTTACCACATTATAATAAAATTGTCTGTTTATGTCTGTCTCCACAGCCAGGTTATAAGCTCCTCAAGTACAAGGAAAGTATGTCATTCATCTCCATATTCCATATGTCCAGTCAAGCACCTGGGACCTACGGAGGCCCTCCACTGAGATTACAGGGACTGAAATAAAACTTCAAGCTGCCCTGCTGATCTATACTCTGTACTACCATGATTTCTAGAGTACAAATCTAATTATGTCTCCCACCTATTTCGAAAAACCTTTCAGGTCTCATTCAATGCCTACTAAAAAAGTCCACATTCCTTTTCCAGCCATAGACTTTCTACAACCTCCCCTTAGTCTACCTATTCAGTCTCACAGCTCATTGTGCCTTTAAGCTATTTTGATGGAACAGCATGAACAAACCTTGCCTTCACGGGTAATCTTCTCTGTTCCACACAAAGAGAACCAGTCATCCTTTATGTGCACCATTCCTTTACATATATATATATAT